AATGCATGGATGGATGGACGGACGGATGGATGGACGGACGGATGGATGGATAGATGGACAGATGGACGGAAGGGCGGATGGAGGGAGCAATGGATGGATGGATTATTGTTTCTGTGTGCAGCTTGATGTTAATAACATCTGACGGCTACGATCCTCTTATTTAACCAATCAGAGAGCCTATCAACCTTTTTAATCCTAACCCCACCAACAGTGCATGGAATTTTGAGTAGAAAATACAGCCTAGAGTTAGCAGCTGCCTCACAGACAGTCTTCCAAATCGAAAATCAGACCTGATGCTTTGAGTCAGTCCATCCCCCGACAAACCCCCCCCCCCCTCCCCGACTCATTCACGTTGGTGAATAAAGGGCAAGCTAATGAAATCAAGACAGCTGCTCACAGGAGCCATAAAATGTCTGCTTTTGTACCAGAGCTAATTGTTCATCAGGGCTGTAGTAAAGATTACTGTGGATATATACGAAGAACCAAATCCTTTAAATGGCTCTTTTATTGTTCTCCTACAATCCCCACCCTCATTTTAGATATGCTGCTGCTGGGCCCCCTTGTGAAATGACTCTAAGCCATTGTTCCTGTTTTATCCTGATGACACCGAAGACTTGTTAGAGCTGCCTTTGATAGAGATGCCCGGCAAAATTTGAACACTGTGTTATCAGGGAGACGGAGAATTACAGAGGCTGGTATGAGAATGAAACCACTCCATCCTCTATCTCCATCTCTCTTTGGGAATAAAATACTGATAATAACAACATGCAAGGATTGTCGGCTTATCAGGCTCCATTGTACCACAAGTTTAAAAAAAAAAAAACTACTTCAAGGAGAGCAAATTTCAATATGGAGCCCTCTATATTTACAATGTATGTCTTCTAAAATGATAAATTGCCACTTGTATTTTCACAGTGTGATACAGTGATTCACTTATTTCTGAATATGAATACACAGTACATCTAGATTATCGTTAATAACCTCCTGAAACGAAGAATGAGAGAGCAGTTTAATCAGTGCACTCATTTATAAACTCAGCTGTAGACTGAGGGGCACAGTAGAGTACAGGGAGGACTAAGAGATGGTTTCCTCCTGTTCAGCTTTGTCACCAGCTCTGATGCCCCCTTCAGGGCAGAACATTCCAAACCACAGAGGTCAGCAGCATGGAGATCTCCAATTTTTATAGACGGATGAAACCACTCCAGAACTCCACCAGGTTGACGCTTGGGAAATTTTAGTGTTTAACTTTCAGTTCCTGTTTTGATAGTTGCACAATAGGACGGACGCATGATTTTAGGATGCCTCAACATGTTTTGGAAAATCAGAAACCCTCAGCTATGATTATTGTAAGAGGCATCATGTTCCCTTTAACTGTCTGATGTATGACTTTAGCTTCAGGTTTTCTCTGCTCCGATGTTCTTTTCCTTTGAAATCTAAAAACTTTAAAGTAACTTTCTTTTAAACTTCATGTATTTACTTTATCTTTTGATTAGACGATTATTGGCGGCAAAATTGCAGACAGTACTGGGCCTGATTTTTAGTAGAGAGACATTTTCTTCACACTTGGAAACTAATGCAATCATAAAAGTATGTTTATGCTCTGTACCAGCTTATCTGTGTGGGTATCTCCAGCACCCTTTGGGCAAATGGCAGGTCACACCCTGGACAGGGCACCAGCCAATCACAGAGAGTCGGAGATTTAAAAATATATATTCACATATGTACACTTCAGAGAGACACCTGTCAACCAAACAGGTCGTGTTTTTTTAGACTGTGGGAGGAAGCCAGGAGAGAAAACCTGGAGAGAAGCCATGATCTTCCTGTTACAAACTGTCATTGTGCAGTCCCAAAAATAAGCATCTGATTTTTTATTTCTTTTATTGATTCAATGGTGAATGAGAGAAATAAATCAAAAGCAGCTGAAGCTGTAGCTGGGTATTGTGCACCAACTTCAGTGTTGTCAGGATTAGTTCCTCCAACTTTTGTCACCTAAGGTAAAACTCTGCATTTACTTTAAGATATATCTTGCACAAAAATAGCTAAGACTCCAAACTAATTTAGATCTGATGGCAAAACTGAAAAATAATTGAATTTGATTTGACATATTTTCCTGCCTTGGCTCTTTTCTGCTTTTTTTATACAGCATTTAAAAAGGTACATCAAAAAATTGAAACCAAGTGGAAATGTCAGTATTTTTGAGATACCACTGTGGTCTGACTCATTCTGCCAATTCCTAGCCAACACATGTTTGTGGTCTATATGGATTTTACTTGGGTAACTGAGTTCTGGTTCCTTTAATAACATTCATTTGGCCTGACTAACATAAAACCCATATTGGAGTTTTTTATTTTTAAGATGGATCTCACATGGGAATGAAGAAAATCAGATCCATTTGGATCCAACTTTTTATGTTAAGTTATCCTGCATTAAACCGATGAACATGGAAGGAAGAAAGAAAGAAAGAAAGAAAGAATAATGAACATGGAAGGAAGAAAGAAAGAAAGAAAGAAAGAAAGAAAGAAAGAAAGAAAGAAAGAAAGAAAGAAAGAAAGAAAGAAAGAAAGAAAGAAAGAAAGAAAGAAAGAAAGAAAGAAAGAAAGAAAGAAAGAAAGAAAGAAAGAAATCCTCTCTTGTACAGGCAAATTGCTTTGACTAACCAGTTTACCGACCATATTTACATGATCTGCCTATATGGGATTGTGTGTGTAAGCTCCACTGAGGTGACCTAAGCGCACATCTTAATATCCTTTATCTTCTGTTGGTATCGTTGCTCCTCTGGAGTTGCAGATATAATCAGAGGCTTCCCTAATATCCTCACAAGACTTCTGGAAGCGATCATGCTGCATTGCTTGGCTATTTATCATATGAGGATCTCAAGCAGAAGGGAGATTGTTGGTGTGTGGATCGGGGCTGAGATAGATCTCATTGAGGATGAGCGTGTTTTATGTTTACTGAGAGTTTCTCGCGCGTCCAATAAAGGCTGCAGTCTGACAAAAAGCGAGCAACCAGCCAGCCGCGTGAAATCTGCATATCGATTGCAGAGACGCACACGCACGGAGAAAACAACCTCGCGCGCGCATCCCAGCTCTCCGCTCGTAAAGGGGGCGTGTGGGACTGGCACGGACTCAGACCCTCCCTCATTTGCATCAGTCAGTGGAAGAAGCGGAGAGCGAAGACGCACTGAGGAGCTCGAACCGGGAAGAGGAAAGTTATTTAAATAAGATTTTGATTTTTTATTTTTTATTTTTTTTTTATTTGCTTTAGAGATATTTGGGAACTGATCTCGTCTCCCGTGGCGGTGGTCAGGGTTTTAGCTGTAACAGAGACTGTGAATGAGAGCTGGAGATATCGGCTCTCATCTCGGGGAGAGGACTTGTCTGCGCGCCGAGCTACAGAGCGGCTCCACCGGGTAGAGGCTGCGCGTCTTTGCGCAGAGCTGCCCCCGGAATCAGCGGGCGGTTCGAACTAGAGGAGAGAAGAAGTTGGGCTCACTTTTGGAAGATTTTTTTTTCTTTTTTTGTTGTTTAAGGAAACCGGAGCAAAGCTTGTCGGATTGTGCACTTTGTGCGTTTCTGCTCTTGTTGGAGGCGGAAAAGGATTGGATGCCTGCTGCCGGTGCGCGAATCCTCAAGAAGCAGGTGAATGCAGATGTTTTATAATTTTTATTTATTTATTTTTATCTTTCTTTAGTTCATGTTGCGGTTGAAAGAAAAGTGTGAAAAAACACACATATATCCATGAATTTGGATTTCAAACCCAAATCTAAAGTGACATCTTTAATGTGTTAAATGGCAAATATGTCTATTAAATACAATTTGCTATAATTACCTGTCAAAAAAATCCACAGACATGTATAAAGTAGGTGAGAGTTTCAAATTCCCCTTTTGTGCATTTGTGATCCAGCTGTGAACTACTGCAGGCTACTGAAATACGCTTCAGTTGATTTCTTCTATATACCAGAGCGACGGTCTAATGGTGTCACATTTGATGGGTAGTTTTACTTTATTCTATTTTTTAACAAACAGGCGCTGTGGTGCTTAAAATAAAAATTCACACAGAGAGAGAGGGAGGAAAGGGAAATAAATGTAGACCTCTGGCTTCAGAGCAGAAAACAGGAACATGTGATTCACTTCCACTGCAGCTGTAGTATTTACAATAGAGTCACAAAGTGGAGGATATGGAGAAATCATTGCAAACAATGAGTGAAACTGCTCTTATTTTGGAGAATTCCTTTCAATAAATAGTTTGTTCATAGTTGTCAGCGTGTTTTTATATATATATATATGTATATATGGCTGCGGCCCAGACGAAAGAAGTCCTGTTGAGTCACTATATCTTCCATTACTGTCTGACTGCTTTTTTTTTAGATAGGGATAGTGGGAGGGGGGAAGAAAATAGAGAGAGAGAGAGAAAGAGAAAGAGAGAGAGTCATGTCACTTAACGAAGCGCCTTTGCTCAGTGGCTCAGTGTAACTCCGCTTACATATAAGGACTCTTGCAGACACAGGTTGGCCAAATGAAGCCAAACACTATTCCCAAATCCTATAGAGTAAGAAGCGCAGGGCGCACGCGTAAATAAAGAATTTACAATCTTCTTTTTGTTTTGTTTGTGCGCCTCACAGCCAAGGATTGTATCCATTATCCAACGGAGTAAGGGCGCAAGGTGGAGGGACGGAGGACTGGCATCTTTCTGCGGAGTGGAAATGGAAAGGCTGGCCCTGGAGAGGGGAGAGCAGCCGGCGGAGGAGAGGAGACGGAGCAGGAGCTGAGTGACAGGATGCCCGCGACCTGAGCGCTCAGCACCGCTGATACCTTTTTTATTTTTTTAACTTTTTATTTTTCTTTTGCTAAAAAACAAAAAAAAAAAGAACACTTAACAAAGGAGACACATTGTAAAACAAAGAGCTTTGGGGAAATTGATTAATATTTTCACAATTCTTTCCTGGAGTGCTATTTTTCCTTTTTATTTTTTCTTCTGATTTTGGAGGAGACAAAACAAGGATGCATTGTGGATTAGTTTTTGTCCTGTTTATGGGATTCCTCCTGGTGCTCGAGGCTTTTAAAAACGGTAAGTGTGACATCTGATATCTGTATAAATAAAGCTTTTATGTACCCAGCAAAGCCACTAATCCTCGTGTTTTTCCTAAAGATTAGCCCCCTCTGATCTGTGCTGATCTTTGGGCAAACTCTGACTTCTGCCTGGAAAATGCCAAAAGCTCACGCGCCATGATATAAAGTTTCAATTTAATGAAGTTTGAATTAAAACACATCTAAACAAGAACTGTGAACCTAATATTGATAGTTATTTTTTGTTTGTTTGTTTGCAATTGAAGGTGAATCTTTATATTTAAGCCTGCATAAAATAATGTTTACTATCAATAGCCTGTGAATCTGACTAGGATGCAGTTTAAAAAGTTGGTGCATTAATAGATCCAAGCACTTTTTTTTTGCATTTGGGACAAAAAAAAGATCAAAAGAATCATGTTGACGCCAGAGACATTTATAAATAAATATATAGCTGCAAAAAGTGCCCCTTTTAAAATAGAATGCCTATTTTTAATGATGAAACGCGCTGTCAGGAGGAGGGAAGTTTCGTTGAAACAAGCTGCAGATCAGCCTGACTTCAAAACCAAAACTTTCCAGAGAAACGTCTGTGCGCTCAGACGCGGGGTGATGATTGCCTCTCCAACTAAAACTGCGTGTTTATTTGAATATCAAACACAAAAGGCGCCGTACCTTCCCTCCGTTCACTGGCTTAACCACGCGCATGTGGCAGAATGGGGTTATCTAATAGAAATATGCGCTCATAATGAATAATTTGTTGGCCTAATTCTTTTCCTTTTTAAATTATTAATCATTGCTTTTGATTGAGCATCACGCAATGTTCCACCTACTGGAAGTATAGTCAGTGTTTCAGTAACAATGAACAAAATCGATCTAAAAAGGAAAAAAAGAATAAAGAGTTTTTCTAATAAAATTATTAAGATATGATGGATTCCTTATAGCATTATTTTGTATTTTTTATTTTTTGCTTCCTAAAATCTTAATTTCAAATGGGCTAATCCAATTAGAGGTTAGTTTTTTTGTTTTTAGGTTGTTTTTTTGTTTTGTTTTTATCATGTAGGCTCATGAACAGATCAGTTATTGAATATATCAACTTTAGAGAAGTTAAAACTTCTTGCTTGTGGGTGAGTTGGAGAAGAAAAAAAAAATGTAGATTGAAATCAGCTTTAAGTAAGATAAACTTTCTCCCTTTGTTGCAAAAGAATGGCACATCTTAGGTGGAGGGGTTCAAGCAAAATGTTAACGCGCCTTTCTTTTAAAAAATAGACTTTAAACGATTAAAAGTTCTTTTAGTGAGAGAGAAACAACTGTTCCTCTGTTGTTTTGCCAATAAACTATCTTATCTTGGTTTACCAGATTATAATTAGGACGCTTTTTGTTAAAACATATTGGAGTTTATCTGTCCGAATAGGATTTGGTCCAATTATCAGTTCCGACGCCTGTTTTTACGCACAGTTTTGGATTTAATTGAGATGATTGTTTATGGTTAAATAATAACACCGGGGCTGTTTTTGCTCAACAAGCATTTTAGTATCTGTGTTACTAGAGTTGCCTTTTCCCTCCCACCTCTCTGTAGATAAATGCGGTGGCAACATCAGAATCTCCAGCGCCAGCTACCTCACGTCGCCAGGTTACCCCGTGTCCTACCCCCCCTCCCAGAGGTGCGTGTGGGTCATCTCGGCGCCTGGTCCTCACCAGCGGATCCTTATCAACTTCAACCCGCATTTTGATCTGGAGGACCGAGAGTGCAAGTAAGTGATGAGAAACGCGCGCGCGCAGTTTATACTAGTACTAGTTTTTGCATCTATGCTCCATTTCAGGCGTAAAACCAAATGCAGTTCTGTGTTCAATCACAAAGCATATATTCCAGTCATAAGTGCGGCTGATGTGTGTTTCTGTGAGAGAATCTCCCTCCCTACTCGCTTTCCTTCCACTTATTGCACGTCAAACTGCGCCATCTAGCGACGGAAAGCTCCAGCAATCTGTAGAAGTGATCCTCCTGCGGTGAGACGCAAGGATGAAAGAATGTCTCCTCCATGCTGTTCGGTTTTGGAAAGTTCTTCCCTTTTGCGTTTTTTTTTTTTGTGCTGTGAAGTCAGCGGCTGTGATTTTGCAGAGTAAAATTTGATCAAAGAAGCATATTGACATGACTTTTTGTAAAAGTGGAAATCAAATCTTGGAGCATATTCTCATTACTTTGTAGATGCATGTGTTCATGGCTTAATTAACTATTTAGTTAACTTTTGATATCAGTGTTGGGACTTGAGTATCTATTAGTGTCAGTTTTAAAATAAAGGATGGGATAATTTGAGCGGATTGCATGAGAACCCAAAAAACAAAACAAAATAAACAGTTTATCACAATTTCAGGTTTATTATCATTATTATTTCCATTTCACATATTTTCATCCAAGGAAATCGTGGCATGTTTGCCAACAGCTGCTGCATCTAAAGCTAATTACCAATTCAAGATTCCTATTCTGTGTTACATTAATTAGCTTTTCTGTTTTACCTTTTCTAGTAAATCAGGTCTAAAAAAAACCCTCAAAACTAAGGATTGTCAAACACAGGAGTGGGTTATGTTAAACCGAAGAGAGATCAATTGATATGTTAATTAAGATTTAGAAAACCTTTGTTCTATTTTTGTAAACACACTCAAAAAGCAATATTTTAAACTGTTTTTGGGATATTGCTGGCTAACAAAAGAAGCCAAACGCCCCCCATTCCAGAGGGGTGGACTGTTTCAACTGTTTCGTCTGTTTCAATTTGCATGTTTTCAAAACAAAAACAAGGTTTTGTTGGGCTACTGTATAAAACCTCGTACCCAACGCTATTCCTGACATTTTCAATTGAAATAAAGCTTCCTAGATGGGAAGCGAAATGTCTTCAATCTTGGAAACAAAGTCCAGTGGATTGTTTTTAACCTTTTTTTGGGTGGAAAAAACAACCGTACATTCAGAAAGCCAAAAAAAAAAAATCATAATATATAAAATGGTCAAAAGTGGACTTAAATGTTCTAGAGAAAAACAGATAAATTACATGTGGTTGTAGAAGGAGAGGCTCGCTCAAGACAGCAATTATATATGAACCGCTTTAGCCAAACTTGATAAAAACACCCTTTGAAGACAGGTTTCTCTGTGACAGGTGGTAACTGATCCTTATTTGACTTGTAAGCCATGAGCTCCTGCATCAAGCAAAAGGCTAAGCAGCCGACCTATTGTCAGGCAGGTAGTCGGAGCCACCGAAACCAGAGACAGTGGGTAATGTGATGAGGCTGTGTCAGCGTGGATGCCCCGAGGTGAGCTTTGCTGGGCTCACTGCCTCGCTTTGATTGCCTGTCTCTCTGTGTGTCTGTGTGTGTGTGTGTGTGTGTGTGTGTGTGTGTGTGTGTGTGTGTGTGTGTGTGTGTGTCGGCCCTGTTCTGTCTCAGCTGTTTGTTTACGCTGCAGGGCTCCGGAGAACGCAGAGCTTTTCTGGATCCTCTTACTGTATCCCCGCTCCACCCAAAATTGGGACCCTATGCTTCCTTTGTACTCCTTGAATGTTCCCAGTATACACTGGCAGCAGCTCCCCCCCCCCCCCAACCTGGGATTTAAATCCCACTTTAACCTTTTCTTTATAGCTGCCAGAGATTTATGGCAGCCTGTGAATGCTGCTGTCTTTTAGCAGCTGGATCTTTGACACTTCCTTTGTTTCCAGCGTCAGGCCTGTTGTGGGGTGGGGGGGGTGTTCACTGTGAATGAAGTCCAATATGTAGAAACAGAGGGCGAGGAGGGGACAGGAGGAGGAAGAAGGGTCAATAACAATGCCTGTGTTAATCTAATTAGTCGGGAATGAAGATGTTGAGCATGCTAGAGGAGGCATTAAGTTCCTCTAGGCCTCTACAAAGTGAGTTTGCTCCTGGTTTTTTTTTAAAGAAGGTTGGGTTTATACATTAGTGAGTCTTTGATTTTTACACTTCAGCACTACCACTGCTCTTTCCTTCAGGAGACACATTGTCAGCAGAACCTGGCTATATCTGGAGATCTCCCCATTTTAATCGCTCCATTTAATGCTTATATTAGCAGTAAAAAGTATTTAAAATGCATGTTTCGATTCCCCAAGATGAACAGCGATTAGGTACTTGCAATAATCAGCATTTTACTTTAGATGAAATACACATTCAGAGCAGGCATTAGTAGCAGCGCTGTGATCCGAAAGGTTCCTAACCACTTGTTTTTCAGGCTCCATTAGTAAATGAGCCAGGCAGATGGCTGCGCAACCTGCCTGGAAATGATGTATTTGGGCCTTTAAAGCTTTCACCCAAAAATATGGTGACTCCCCTCTTTTTAATTTCATTTTCAATATTGGTAGTGGAGTGTTTTACATAGAGCTTTGGTCATACGTTGTGAGCCATCCAAATTTGTCTTTAGATTTAGTTTTTTAAGAAGATGAATAAATTTTTCCCCTCTTAAGTATTTGAAGATGGTAGTATAGTAAGAATAAACATTAATCTAAGAGATTATAGTTATTGTCATGCTGCAAGGTGAAAATCTCCTATAATCTTTATTTAACTCAATTTGTTTTTCCGAACTATGATCACCTTCTCTGTTCGTGCTAAAAAAAAAGCATTCCTGTAGCATAATTCTGCCACCACCGTGTTCTACTATGTAGATGGTGAGTTGAGAGCCTTATTTTTCTTTCACACATAGTGTTTCTTATATTTGGTTTTCTTTCCTTTGGCACTTTTGGAAAAAAAATTTTTATATATCTTACAAATATAGACCACTTTTTGTTTGTAAAACCAAAATCCTCAAACATACACCGACGTTTGTTGTCATAATGTGAAAAAAAAAGCATAGAGAAGCTTAGGAGGTATAAAAACTCTTAACAAAGCATTGCATGTATCAGCTGTACAGTTGACTGACATGAGAGCTGGACTCATCAGAATCCCCGTTGCAGCTCCGCTCACCAAATCAGCCCTTATATAATGGAAACTGATGAGATCCAGAATGGCTTCCTTATCTGATAGACTGCTAACATTGGTGGGGGCAGAGAGGAAGGCAGTTGGGCTCACAATGCATGCTTCAGTGGACTGCCATACAATCTAATTAGTGGGCCAATGGAACACACATGCACCACATGTTCCTCCTACACAGGTCTTATCAGCAAACCAAACAAGAACCACTCAAAGTCGAGCTTGTAAAAAAAAAAAGGAGGAAAAACAAGTCTATATGGAGTAAAGCCTGGCTACCATGCTGCTGTTGCATGTGCACCCTTGACAGGTTTGTTTAGGGAAGTGCAGAGGCCTGTATCCTGAGAGCAGCAGAAGGAAAACACTCCATCACTGAGATAAGGGGACTAAGTGAGCCTTGTGATTCTGAATGCATGACGTGTTTACCTTTCACACGCCGTTGTAGACTTTCACGGAGTGGAGTTTTCAGGGAGCTGCCCCTCATCGCCTCTTGCGGCTAATGAAGTTTGAGGGAAAAGGCACAGGCCGCATCAAGGCAAATATTTGAAGTCAATTTGCTCAGAAAATCAGCGGAATGAGCTGGCTGAGCAGAGGTGAAAAAAGACAACAAAGCAAACAGATACGTTTGTAGTCCATCACTATTCTATGCATTTATTCTTTGTTCCTTGGGGAGCTGATAAGACCTGTCAGGCTGAACTGGCAGCATCTGAAGTTAGAATGGAAACATGGATGAGAATACAAACAAGTGAAAGAGGGGTACACCTGATAGGCAATTCATCTGTTTAAAAAAAAAAAAGGAATACTATAGCTTGCTTTCTTTCTGTTTAGAGGTGTGATAAAGTTTGAGCTGCTGAACTTTTTCCACCCCCCCCTCCCCTTCCCTTGTTGACTTGAAAAGAAGAACGAATACTTCAGAACCTGCAGGTTCCTCACAAACACTATGAATCTTTGATAGTGTGGGATTTTCTGACCAGACCAGAAAACAGTTCAATGTTGAACACAATAAAATCCCTTGCAGTCAACCATTCGGACAGTCAGTCAGGCAGAGCTTCGGTCTTGTTTGTTTTGGAGGAGCAGATGATTTGAGTTGAAAACTTGAAGGGAGAAAAAGGAAGACTCACCCCTCTCAGCCATTCCTGATGACTGTTTAATTCTACCAGGGTGTTATTTTTCTTTCCGGTCCCCACAGACTTTCCAGGTTGACAGTGTTTGCGGGTAGATGGAGAAAAAGTTTGGACGGGGGTGGTATAAAGTAGCATCATTCGAGAGGAAAGCGAGTGAAAACTTTTAGACTCATAGTGCTTTAAAAGCCAACAAGATCCCTACATCTACACTTAGGTGGACAAATTTAAATATTGGAAAAAGGAATCCTACCTTTCCTTACTTTCTCATTCGTGTCTGTATCACACTGCATTTCCTTCTGTCAGGTTTTGTGGCCTGCCAGGAAAGAAAACACTCTCCACTGTGTACCTAATACAATACATATCCTGCCTTTCCTGCCCTTTCTGAGCAGGATCACCCCTGTCAGAAGCTTGGAAAAGAGGATTGTTGACCTACCCCGCATTTAAAGTTGGATCTGCCTCTGTCATGCGGAGTTCCACTCAGTGTCCTATAAAGAGAGCCACCTGTTTGTAGGAAGTGACAGTGTGGGGCTGAAGGGGGCTGTAGAGAAAGCAGCACTCTGATATTTACTTAATTCCATCCTTTCTGACAGAGGGACACCATGACAATGAGCAGCAGAGCTTCACAGCTGGAAAGTCAGGAGGAAATGTTACTGCTCAGCCCCTGATGCAAGCCA